GTGTTCTTTGTCCCCCAAACCCATAATCCCATTCTAATCATGAGGAAAAATCCCAATTGAGAGCTAGTCTACAGAATACATGACCAGCACTTTTTGAAACTGCTGATCATCAAAAATAAGGAAAGTTAAGAAACAGTCACAGTCAAGGAGAGACAGACAACTGATAGTAATGTAGTATCCTGGATGGGACCCTGGAACACAAAAAGGACATTAGGTAATGATTAAGGAAATATTAATCAGACATGGGTGTGGACTTTGGTTAATAGTAATGTAGCAATATTGATTCATTAATTATAACAAATACACCATACTCATGCAAGATCTTAACCTCAGGAAACTGAATGCAGGTAACATGAAAATTTCTGTGTATAACTTTTCTGTAAGTCTGAAACTATTCTAAATTAAAAGTCTATTTAAAAAAGTAGACCCCAGCTCAAATGTAAGTTATACCTTTATTGAATTAAATATGCACTAAATATGTTACCTATGATATCATCTACTCTCCACAGTCTCATGAGGCAGATATTATTTTATATAATATTTAGATGAGGAAACTGAGGCATGGAAAGGCACAGAAACCTGTGTAAGAACACAGAGTTATTAATGATTTGAAATGGGTTTCATCTGGCAGGTTTGGCCCAGGACCATTACAGATGTGTGTGAAAATGCAGGTGATTTTATTTATTTTTAGAATAATTTATTTTAGAAATATTTATTTTAGAATAAAGTAACACAATTCCTTAAAAATTAAAAAGCAAACACTCAATAGATTGATACAAATATATATATATTTGATACAAAAATATACAAAAAATAATATATATATATTTGTATCAATCTATTGAACACTTGCCATATATATATATATATATATATATATTTATCACTTGAGTCTCATTCTCACTGATTTGCTTATAATTATTTCCTTGCTTCCTCTCAGGCCTTTTACTTACCTTCCCTAATGAAACATAGTGGGTTATGTTTTATTTTTAATACTTCATTGACTACTTCTATAACTTCAAATACTAACACTAAAACTGTATTTCTTCACCTGTGAAATTTAGGCAGTATTTCTTGACTTCCCACTAAATAAGAGCAAATTAGCATCCAGTGGTTTCTTTCACCTTAGGATGACTTTAACTTAATATTTTACTTGTAACATCTTTATAGGAAAATTAAAAGCAGTGATACGATGCTGCAGTATTCAACATCTTTTAACAAATAGATGAGTATTGATATCAAGTTTCCTGTCAAAATGAATTTTTTTTAATTCAGAAAATGTTAACATCTGTCAATATTTAGCATTTGTTAAAAGCATAAATTTAGATCTAGTGCAAAGAAAAATAATTGTATCACCTGCTTGTGCTGTTCCTGTAAACTTTAAATATTTTGTATAGAGGACATTGTGCACAAAATGTGAAATATGTCTTTTTCCATTATTTATTTCTATAAAATAAAGGTACAGTATATGTATAATTTTTGTTAAAATTAAGCTGTCAGGCACAGGCTCAAGCCTTGCCCTGATTCATGATGCCAGCAGATCAGAGAAAAGTCAGGAAGCCCCAGCAGGGCCAGCAACAGTCTTTATTGCAGTAGTAGAAGGCAAGATACAGGCAGCACATTTACAGCATCCAAGGCCCTTGGAAGGCGGTGGGCAATGTACACAGGGGGCAGCAACAGTGGCTCTGGGGTCCCCCTTGGGCCACCCTATTGAACCCCCTTCAAGCCCCCTTGGGCAGTCTGGGGATTCCTGGGTCTGGCAGCAACAGCAGAAGCAGCAACAGCAGTGGCAGTACTCAGTGGCCCTGGCAGCACCCCAGCAGTAGTGGCAGTCAGTGCCAGTGTTCCACCTCCACCGCCCAGCCCTATTAGCTTTTATATGATTTATAGACAAAGCTGGCACAGGGCCAACTTCATGCCTACATAAGTATGTTATTTACTGTTTTCCACACATGTGTACTTCATCTCAAGGCTATATGTTATCTGCTAGGCCACCTGTGCAACAGCCTGAAAACTCTGTGAACACTGTCTTTTCACTGGCCCAATCGAAGCCATATTAAAAGCACCCTAAAATATACTCATAATATTGACATTTCTGATATACAGACATATTTTAGAAAATGGGAAGACATCAAATGCAAATTTTTACGAAGAAAAGTGATCAGAATCACTATTTGATTTTCTGTGTGGTGATTTTGAAATAAATTTGCTATGGACTAGATGATATATAAATAAAAGTTGGACAATCAGCACAGGGGATCCAAGAAAAAACTAGAAAAAATTGAATAGGCCAAGTGATTCTCTTGTTAAAAAAATAATGTATGTGTAAATTTTGCTGCTGTTGTTTGGTACATGCTTGTCTTCAATGAAGAGCAGAAATAAAACACAGAAAAAAGATATTTTTAGATGTTAGACTTCCATTGTTTAATTGATGTAGAACAGGAATTTAGCACAATGACTGCAGCCCCTACTTCTCCCATCTAGTATTTCTGAAAAACACGTGCACACTTTTCAGAACAAATTGAATCAAACCCACTTGGTTTGACTCAAAACCTATTAGTTTATCTCATACTGGGTCTCCCTAGTTGTAAAACTTCTTCTATCTTACCTAACAGGAGGTTAGGGGTCCACTGTTTTTGATAAATAAAACTGGCCAAATCTCATTTTCCCAATCTGTAAATTCCTGGCTCTCTTGTTAAACAAAAGTGGTCAAAACTCATTCAGGTTCCATCTGTGAGGCCCGACCCCTAAAACTAAGCAAGTATTTATATCAGCAGTCTTAAGATCCAAGGCATGATTCTCCCCTGACTCTGCCTGCACTCACTCTGCATGTGCACCACCACCCACCACAGAGCTTCATTCTGACTCATCTACACCCTCTCCCGCCTGGATTCCTTCCTGCATAGAAGTCAAGAACCTCTGGGGCCCCTCACAATCAACCAAACATTGAGATTTTGATTTTTCCCAAAAGAAAAATGAGCTCACTTCCTCCTCCAGCCTCCAGAAATCTCTCACACAAACACACTGAACAGTAAAATCAAGAATATTTAAGAACATATCAGCTAAATATGCAAGTTCAGGCAAAGGTATATCAAAACTTACAAGAAACTGCTTTACACATTGCAAAGCACCTTCCTTCCCTTAAAAAGGAGAAAACATCTAAATTTTCAAAATATAGAGAGATTTCATAATAGATATTTGACAAATTTCTAGGTGGTATTCTCACACAGTGAATTTTTCTTTAGCCGGGGGATATTTTTAAAACAAAGTACTTGCTCTTATTCTTGAACAAAAGAAATCCCTTTCCCAAAACTGATTTTTTAAATGAAAATACTTTACTATCTCCCAAGATGCAATCTTCCTGGAGAGTCTGAAAAAAAAAAAAATCTATATAGTCTCTCGACAGTTGTAGAATTCCAATTCTAAAATTTACTTTAGAAAAACTAAGAATAATCACCAAATGACAATGTTCATTTTGCTGTTGTTTGTACAGCAGAGGGGTGCAAACAAGATGAGTGCCCACTATTAGGGAATTAGTTACACAGATTATGACATGTTCCCATGCTACAGTATAATAATTCTGGTCAATATTTATTAGCATTGGAGAGTAGTGGCAGTCACATTGTTAATTTAAAAAGCAGTTTAGAAAATATTCTGAAAGAATACTATTGTGTAATTTCTATAAAGTTTGGAAATACATCCATGACATTACTAGCAGTGTTTATTTTTAGGTGCTAAGATTTTAGGTTGGCCTTAATCATCTTCCTTATCCTTATATACTTTAACAAATCTTTATACAAGTATGCATCATTTGTTTAATGAGAAAAATTACACATTTAAAATTATACATAATTATGACATATCTATTTTTTATGACAGAGGTAAAATCAGGTGACTTGATAAGCTCTGGAAATAATCAACTTGTGTACTGGAAATTATACACAAGCTGATATTCTGCTCCAAAACCAGGTAATATAATCTATGGGGTTGGGTGTTTGGTAACAAATAAATAAATAAATGAAATAAATGTATGTTTGTATGTGTGTACATATATAAAGTTTAAAACCTTTAGCTGGAGATCATATTGTTACACAACATATTTGAGCCTTAAGCCCCTGCAGGCCTATACTTATTCTCAGGCTCCCTCAACCCCAAGGATAAACCCTGAACTTGGGTCCAGGCTGTCCTCAGGTATAACCTTTCGGTAGCTGGGGTTTTACACCTTAGTTCAATAAACTCAGCTGGTTAGAGTTCTAAGGAGCTGGGCTTCTGAACTGTCCCACACCAACATCACACATGGCACCGCAGCCACATTGAAACCCAAGCTGTCCACGAGCACCCCACTTGCCTTCACTTCTCTGTGCTCTGTCTTCCACCTGGAGGGTTCTTGCTCCATCCCAGGCTCCACATTCTGCTTATCCTTGAAGGTCTTGTTAAAATGCCACTACCTCAGGGGGCCACATCTCCTGTCCCCCAAGTGGCATGCCCTCTCCATTTCCGACTTCTCTTTCTAGGGCCCAGGAGACCCCTTTGGTCCACAACATCAGGAAAACTCATTCCCTGCCGTCCTTGACATTTTATTCTGATCTTGATTTCTTGTGTTCACCATCCTCACCTGAAGCACTTGTGAACATAAATAGGACCTAATAGTTCTTTTGGGCACAAAATGAGAAATAAAAATAAGTAAGTCAATCAACTTAATATTATATTTATCAGTCTATATATTTCAACCTAGAGTGCATATTCCTTCTCCCACTGGATTATAGGCTTTACTAGAAACAAAACTACTTAGTGGGATATTTTTTCTAATACAGTACTCTCATTCCTAAACAAAAGAAATCCCTCTCCCCAAAATGAATTTCTTTCATGGAGCCATTATAATAGCTCTCGAGTTGTAATCTTCCTGTGAACACAGCACTCGGTACACAGTAGGTCTTCAATATATATTTATTGCACTGAAGCCATCAGTGCTAGAATCTTGTGATGACACAGCTTGATGGCTATGAGGATGCTGAGGACTCAGACATAAATCTCAAACCACCTGAAACATGGTCAGCTGTTTTAGCGGGGCAGAAAGAGGGGCAGCATCCACCTGTGGTGTCTGGGCTTTTCCCAGCAGGACCTCAAAGATTCACAGCAGCCAGGGCTCCAGAGGGAAAAATACGTTTTCTTGCTGAACTGAGGGGTTGGGTAGAGGACAAGGCAGAAGAGTTGCTTGGTTTAGTTCTCTGCTCTGTTCTCTGTTCCGAAGTGCTGAGACTGGGAACGTGTTTCTCAGCCCCAATAACAGGGAGACAGCTGAGCCTTCCAGCAGAATGAATGCAAGAGAGACACACCTGTGCTCCTGTCCTCTGGGGTGATCACCTTAGCACTCTTCCTCTTTGATGTGATAGGTTGTGCCCCCACTAAGGCAGCGGGGCTTCCGGTGAGCTCTCCTAGTGCCAGGCTTGTTCTGATTCCAAAGCTTTTGGGAACCAGAACCACAGCCTCCTGAACAGGGAGCACAAGGAGCAGAGCAGGGAGCCAGGGAGGGGGTTGAGCATTGGGGAGGGGAGCACATGGGAGCACGCGTGGGTTCCCAGGATTGCTGCTTCTGCTGGGACATCACTGGGTTATGGATGGAAGCTGGAAAGAGAAAGAACATTCAGTTAGATCAGGGACCTTGGGTGGGACTTTTCTCTTTCTCATGAGCTGGAGCACACAGAGTATGTGTGGGCAGCGGGTGACAGGGGCTAAAAATGCAACCTGGCATTTATAACCTGCTAAAATCCATGCCAGGAAGGGAGGAAATGGATTTGAAAAGCCTAAACTTTTGGAGAGTAACTCACAGTGGGAACTCCCAAAGAACCCACATACTAACACGCAAATTGACAATGTGCGTTTCCTCTCAAACAAGAAAAACAAGCTGTGACCTTCCAACAGACGGTCCACTTTCCCCGGGCCGATATCCGGGGAAGACCCAAGTCTTTGCTTTCTTCCCTCAGCCTTCTTCTGCCCTGAGACCCCCTCAGCCTGTGTCTTCTCTGCATTCCCAGCCCCCTAACTGTGGCTTTCTCCCATGTTCGATCATTTGAGCTTTTGCAGGGACCCACTTTGCTTCCCCTTTCCCTGCCCGAAGCCTCTCCATACTGGCTTGTCTATTCCCTGGGAAGTGATAAGAGGAGAGATGGGGCTGCCTTAGCAGCGTCTGAGTGAGGGCCACCCAAGTGTCTCCCCTTCCAGAAGTACCTCACCCTAGAGGAAGATGTGGGAACAGGTCATCCCAGAAGGAGTCTGGAGTCCTTGTGGGGCTGACAAGGAAGGGGCCTTTTATACAAACCTTCCAACTGAAGCCTCCAGGCCACACATTATTGGAGGGCAGCCACGGTGCAGATTATCTGTCCGGATGTTTCACAATTCCCAGCTACATGCAGCTGGGATTTAGGTCAAAAGGATTCCCGGGTGAGTAACTGAGCAAATGGTTGGCCTTCAGATTGGTGTGGGTGGGGGTAGGTATACTGGCTATGTCTAGATGACCCGGAAGGGCTGAGTGGGAGTGTAACTGTCATTGAGTTCTATCTAGGATTGAAGGAGGAAGAGCACCTTCAATACTCAGTACTGAGGAAGACCCTTTTTAGCCACCTCCCACCCATGATGCATGACTTCTATCATCCAGTTCAATGTCATCACTGCCATGGAGACTTGCCTGGTCTCCTGGCCACATTTGAGTCCTCCAACCTCTGAACTTCATAGACACTTTCACGGCCTTTATGGATATTCAGGATCAAGGTGACCCCAATACCTATCCTATCTCCTCTACTATAACATTCCTTGGTGACAGGCACTTTGTTTTTATCACTTCTGCATTCCTAGAGCTTGATAGTGTTCCTGACATAACGAAGGTGCTGATTAATATTTCTTGAATGAAACAATCTATGTACCATCAGAATAGACTTCGAGTTTTGGGAGAATGAAAAATAGAAGAAAATAATACCACTTTCATTTGTTTTGTGGATCAGATCTTGACTTCTTGTGTTTGCCATCCTCACCAGAAGCACTTGTGAACATAAATAGTAATTGAGAAATTGGTATGTGAACCTATCCTACACAACAGGCTGAGAATAGTGTGAAGAGTAAAACACTTGTAAAGCCTGCCATCACACAAATGCAAAAGAGGGGCTCTGTTTATATCAGATGAAGGAGGCAAACCCTGGATAATCCTGTCCTTCTGGATTTAGGTCTCCAACTGTATCAAGAGAACACAAAGAAATATTTTCCATAGAGTGGAAAGCTGTCCTTTACCTTTCATGAAAATTTATGCTATAACATGTTGGCTGTGTTAGAGTGGGAACATGCTTATCTAAATACATTTCCTGACTCTGGACCATTTCATCTCAGAATTACCGCTGATGGGCACAGTAAGTAAAAATGTACTGATGAAATTCCCTGATGTCATGCTCCCAATGCTGAGTAAATGGAAAAGATGAGCAATTACAGGGGATATTCTATTATAGGAGCAGACCTCAAAGGACTTCAAATACTTTATCTAGAACAAAGTTGAGCAGGATTGGGGTGTGGGGTGAAGGATAATTACTTAACCAGGATGGAAAACAGGGCAAAGCCAGAAGAATAGCTGCAGTTGTGGACCCGAATCCAGCAGGACAGGATCATCAAGGGTTTACCTCCTTCATCTGGGAAGGCTTCCCAGAGGAGGTAGGCTTCGGGATGCAGTGTAGATGAAGAGAGAGAAAAGTCATTGAGAATGGACAGGGGTGAGAGAATATATTTTTACTTAACAACTTAAGTAAAAATACCACAGTATTCACGAGGTGTAGTTGAGGTATCCAACCAAAGAGCCCTATTTCATGAAAGTGTCTGATTTTTTCATCCTGGGTTAATACTGACCTGAGATGCTCACTCCTTTAGAGCAGGACCCCAGAGAGACAGAACCCGATTCCCAGGGCTGCAGAAATCAGACTCCTCTTCCCTTCCTTCCTTCTCCTTCCTCTCTTCCTCTTTATTTCTTCTCATCCTTTTCATCCGCTTCTTCTCATCTGTGCCCCTCAGAAAGCCTTCACACACACTAAGCATTAGTGGGAAGTGACTCTGATCTCAATATAACAGCGCCTTCTTTTCCCCACCACAAAAATCCACACTCTTGAGACCTCACACATCACAGATGCATTTCCTTGAGGCTGACCAACAACTGTCCAATCCTTCCTGCCCTACCTAAGGGTCAAGGATTCTTCTGAAGACTTTGTTCTGGAAGGACAAAGTTACCTGGTTTCTTCTACATCTCTCCCAGCCCCAAGAATGGAACTAGTTCCAGTTAAATGTACCACATTAGAGTGACGGTGGTTTGAATATTGTCATTTACTATTATTAACATTCCATCCTGGTCTGTGGACAAGTGTCCATCCCTAGGAATTACGATCTCTTCTCATTCCTACTCCGTATCTGTGACCTTATTTCTCTGAGTAATAGATGTTTAGTCCCTCCCTCCCTCTCACCCTCCCTGCCTCATTTACATAGTGTGCTAATTCTTCTTCTGAAAATTTCCTCTACATCTTTTCTTTGTCTTTAGAAAGTCTATCTTCCAAAGGCCAGTCTAAATCCTGTGGTCTGTGTAATGGGTTCCCTGATAATACCTGACCAAGAAATCTTCTAGAGTGTTTATTATTTGTCATAGATAATATATATAATTATCACACATAGCTGTTTTTATGTGATATTGTAAACATTTTATGCATGAAGTTGTGTCTTCTATATCTTCTATCACCTTTCAGTATATAAAATGGCTCATAGCAGTTATTAGTGTTCAAAAAAAATCCTTGGCATCAATATTTGCAAAAATCAATATACTGAATGTTTTCTTTCCAAATGTTATATTCTCAAGTTGATTCATCTCAGATCAGTATTAACCCAGGATGAAAAAATCAGACACTTTCATGAAATAGGGTTCTTTAGTTGGATACCTCAACTACACTTCATGAATACTGTGGTATTTTTACTTAAGTTGTTAAATATAGTTTTGTTTAGAGAGAGTGTCCAGGCACTGATGCTATGACTCCTACCAGTAACCTATATCAGAACTCAGTTCTGTTCTTGGGTTTTTCTTTTCTTTTAAGATTTATTTATTTATTTATCTATTTATCTATCTATCTATCTATCTATCTATTTATTTATTTATTTATTTATTTATTTATTTATTTATTTATTTATACAAGCACCAGGTATAGTCAGAAGCGCGGAAGGGTGAGAGAATTCACCAGAGCCAGAGGGGAGAGCAGAACAGGCAGACTGACAAAGCACACTGCTGAGGGGAGCAGCGGGCGGCAGGAGAGGTCTGCGCAGCAGGAGAGGTCTGCGCGCCATGTGGGACCCTCGCCCGGCGGCCGGGTATCGAACTGGCGCTGCAGAGGCTGCGGGCAGCTTCGCAACCCAGCGCTCAACTGCTGCGCCACCGGGGAGGCCCATTTTTTTTGTTTTTGTTTTTGTTTTTTTTTTAGGGAAAGGAAGAACTAAGAGATCTTATGGGTTGGGGCTTTCCTCCAGGAGGGCTTTAGTCAAATCACCAGTTATTCTGAGTGTAAGATCACGAGACTGGCCTGTTAAGTCAGACTATTGGGCATAAATATGTCTATTTTAATAGAAGTTGTGACCGGCAAAGATGGCCTTAGTATCATCTTTTCTTTTCATCTTTTCTTTATCAAAAGGGTCAGGCTCTTTTGTTCTCCTTCTCTTACTATCCAAAGGAAGAAGAAGAGAAATGTCTGAGATTTAGAGGAAAAGAATTAAAAGTGTCCTCAGAGTTTAGGTTGTTCACACTCATAAATGTAACAATTTAAATCATAAAAGAAGGGCCTCCCCGGTGGCGCAGGGTTAAGGACACCGCAATCAGGTAGTCACCAGCCTCTGCAGAATGAGTTCAATCCCAGCCGGCCAGGGAGCAATGCACATGGTGCAGCAGACCTCTCCTGCCTTGCCCACTGCTCCCCTCAGCAGTATATTTCAGTAGATAAATAAATCTTTAATAAATAAATAAATGAATAAATAAATTATAAAAGAAAATCTGTAAACCCATAAAATTTCAAAACATAGTCTTTTTCTAAAAGATTTATTTATTTATGCATACAAGAGCTGGGGTACAGGCCAGAGTTGTGGGGTGATGGGAGGATTCACCAGAGACAGAGTGGGGAGCAGAACAGGCAGGCTGACTGAAGTACACTGCTGAGGGGAGCAGTGGGAGAGTCAGGAGAGGTCTGCTGCGCCATGTGGGTTGCTCCCTGGCTGGCCAGGGATCGAACTTGTGCTGCAGAGGCTGCGGATTGCTTCACAGTGCGGTGCTTAACCCCTTGCGCCACCGGGAAGGCCCCTCGAAACATAGTCTTTTTTAGCAATAAAACACCACAAAAAATGCCTATGGGCATTTTGATGGTAGGTGTGCTATGGTGAAAGGAGAGAACAAACAATACCAAAATACTAATGACGATACAAACCAACGGGACTTCAACAAAAAATTAAAAAATAAAATAATGAAAAAGAAGTGAGTAAAGATGTAAATAAATGAGAGGTATTATTTTTAGATATTAGGTATCTAAAAAGATACCTAAACCAAATTAAACC